CTTAAATATATACATGCATGTGTGTGCATTTATATATACATAATAAATATACACAGTACACACACACACACATATATTATGTAAACAAAAACTTTTATTTTGGATGCGATTAATCGTTTGACATAATATATAAATAAATATATATAATTTATTTTTATTTTCACTCTTAATTTATACACATACAGTTCAGTAGCACTTTTCAAGTCCGTTATATCAGTATTCAAGATTTCTTTTAATTGTTTTTTATTTTTATTTATATATTGTTTTGCTCATGGAAAATAGATAATTTTGCAGTATTAATATGTAAATGTGACCCCAAAATGTGTGCAGGTTATTTTTCATGTGGTAGATTTTCAATCTTGGTGGTGTCTTTTATTTCAAAAGTAGCAAGGAGAGTCCTGTATATGTCACCTTTTAAAGCATGTTTCAAATGCAGTCTCCTGTTATGTGTCATCTTCATGTTGTGATCCACAAATTCTCCTTATTCCCAGCATGCCGAGGACATGGCTGCCAACCTGAAGAGCGAGAACGAGCACCTGCAGAAGAATCTGGAGGAGTCTGTGAAGGAGATGGAGAAGATGACGGATGAATACAACAAGATGAAGATCGCAGTCCAGCAGACGGATGCCATCATGGATCAGCTGAGAAAAGAACGAGATCATGCCAAGCTTCAGGTGCTTTAATCAAGATTATAAAATGGATAATTTCAGTCCTGAATGCTGATTGGTTGATATAATTTTCGTGCCACATGAACTGGTTCTCCTAGCCACTTTTGGCAGAAATAAATAGGTAAGGTTGAGTTTTGCATAAATCTAAGTAGTTTGAGTGTGCATGCATGTAATGGAGGGGGTGGCCTCTTTTATGATTGAAAGAAAAATAAATTGTTATTAATGGACTCATTTTAAATAGATCTCTTTTTAAAGGTCAGAGAGCTAAATGAACAAATCCAGGCTCGAGTTGAAGAGGACGACCCAGTTATGGCTGCCGTTAATGCCAAAGTTGAAGAGTGGAAGGTGAGCCCAAACTCGTAAATGTCAGCTTTGACAAATAAAACCAGTTTATATTCAAATGGTTCCATGAACTTTCCTAATTTCTCACTACTGCAGAAGTGGCTGTTGTTGTTTTTCTTTTGGTTGTATGTGGTTTTACCTGTCTGAAATTGCTCACATCTTTGAGGAGCCATTTTTCTGAAGTTCTGAAGAAAAGGTTAAATATTTGCTTTTGTGCCAGACTCAACCAACAGTTTTGTCATCTGAGGAAACAAAAAAAAAAAAATTTGATTTTTTTTTTCTTTTTTTTTTCTTTTTTTTTCTACAAATTGTGCTAGCATGCATCTTCAGTGGAATTCAGCTTATAAAAATGTGGATAAAAATACTTGGGCTTTTAATTTATTGAAAAAAATATATAAACTTATATATCAGTATTTTCTTTGAAAAGCTCCCAAATAAAGATAACTCGAAGACATTTGTGTGGCAAACGAGTAAATCATTGAATAGACATTACAAAAACCTAATGTTGCTTTTTATTCTCAAATTTTCTGTCATTTCAGTCATTTTTAATTAATTATAATAACTTAACATGTTCAGTTGACAACATTTAAAATACAGAGAATATTTTTATAGGCTAGTTCAAAGTAAAGAATAAACTCCAGACACAAATGAAGTTCACGTAACCTGATTGAGAGAGTTAAAACACTCAAAAGTGTTTCTGTTTTTAACATTTATGACACATAACAAATGGAATACAAATAGCTGCTGTAGAGGAATATCAAATAAACTAACAAGTATCATATTTAACATCCTGACACTACTGCGACTCCAAGCACTATAACTATTTCCATTGTAACTGAATAGACATGTTTTCTGATGGAAAAGGCCCAAAAAGCTGAACAACTAGTAATTAGAGTTGCCTCTAAGCCAGTGTTGGGCAAAATTGGCACTTCCAGGCCACTTTCCTGCAGAGATTTGATCCAACCCTGATCAAACTCACCTGCCTGTAGCCTTCTAGTAGTCTTGAAGACAATGATTAGCTGGTTCAGGTGTGTTTGATTTAAGGTTGGAGCTAACCTCTGAAGGAAAGTGGCCTGGAAGGGCCAAGTTTGCCCACCCCTGCTCTAAGCGGTGAAAAATCAGCGCCAAAAGTCTAACCTGCAGAATAGTATCACACATCCTGACAACCCATAGACCAACACTGTCACAGTGTGAACATAATGTGAAATGAGGTAAATGCCAATTTTATTCTTTTGGTAGCTGAGAGTTCTAGATGCTGTAAACTGTCATGTATTTGTATGTTTGTGTTTCAGAGTATTTTATCAGGGAAAGATTTGGAAATGTTGGAGTATCAGCAGATGATCAGAGACTTGAGGGAGAAACTTCGAGCTGCTCAGATGGACTCTGACAAAAGCAACATTATCGCACTGCAGCAGGTCAGTCAGACACACATATATATCATTTATATATAATTTTTTTAAATAAAATAATTTATAAATAAATAATTTACATTTACATTCATCCAACAAAATTTATATCACTGTTTTCAACATTCATAATATTAAGAAATGTTTCTTGAGCAGCAAATCAGCATATCAGAATGATTTCTAAAGGATCATGTGACACTGAAGACTGAAGCAATGATGCTGAATATTCAGCTTTGCCATCACAGAAATAAATGTCATTTTAAAATATATTAAAACAGAAAACAAGCAAACTAAATATAAATTATACACTGGGTATATATAAACTTGTGTTTTGATAAGAAATTACAATTTCTGAATTTAAGTTCAGTTCATTAATCATGTATGTAGAGGTGATGGTATTTTAAAGGGGTCATATGATGCTGCTAAAAATAACATTATTGTGTATTTGGTGTAATGAAATGTGTTTATGTGGTTTAAAGTTCAAAAAACACATTTTCCACATACTGTACATTATTGTTTCTCCTCTATGCCCCGCCTTTCTGAAACGCGTTGATTTTTACAAAGCTCATGGGTCTGAAAAAGCGAGGTGTGCTGTGATTGGCCAGCTATCCAGTGCATTGTGATTGGCCGAATACCTCAAGCGTGTGACGGAAATGTTACGCCCCTCACATACTGTTGATGCCGTGTCAGGCCGGAGCGACGAGACATAAACATTAAAACCCATTATAAACGAGGCATTTGTTGCATCCAGTGGGGACATAATTACTGATTATAATGACTTATACTGTCTTTTTACGCGTTGCATTGCATCGCGCCGCGTAAACATAAAACTCTGTCTGCATTTGTGATCGGAGAAATGACAAACAACAAGTGCTACTCTACACTGCCCAAAACTCGCGTTTGAATCATCAGTGGCAACGAAAAACACAGCGGCCTAGCGTGAGGGGAAGCCCCGGCTTAGCGTGCGCTGAGGCGCGGGATAGAGTGAGCTGAGGCTGGCTGGACTCCACTTCGTCCACAGTGAAAGTTGATGTATTTCCTCAGCGACCAGCACGGATCAGCTCCAGGCATGATGAAGTGGATATCGTCCTCTTTTGGAAGACCAAACAAAGTCGTTTCGCTTTCACAACGAAACACACAGCGCCTTCACGCCATGGAGGCAGCAGCAATACTACAGCGAGAATAAAAGTTACGCCTTCTTTCTTTGCGTGAGCATTTGGGCGGCGTTATGCAAATCTTCCCAGATCGTGACGTAGATATGTGGGGGCATGTTAGAATGAGCCGTTTTAGGTAGGTGTGGCTGACTCTGAACTTTTATAAAGAATATCTCTTTGGATTTGAGACTTTAGTCTTTGCAACTTTACAGATCTTCTTTATGCACCAAGAGCTTGTAACACTCCAAAGAGAAAGCAAAAATTGAAATCGCATCATATGACCCCTTTAATACACTTTTAAGTCATTCGTTTTATTTCTTTCTCTGATATAAATTTGATTTATCAACCAAACATATTACTTCCACTTGGTTAAATTTTTTATCCCATTAATTAAGATAAAAGGTATGTCTCATTGTCTCAGGCCTGTTTCACAAATCGTGACAAAATATATACTCTATACTGGAAATAAAGGGATTTCTGGATTATTACATTAAATAGTTCCTTGAATAGGACTCCTTTAATAGAATTTATCATATAAGTTTTTGATTACAAACTTGATTATTGTAAAAATTGAATTTACATGAGGAAGTTGCCATATTTGAATGAATTCATAAGGAATGGAACCCAAACCTCAGAGTTTAGCTATAAACTGCTAAAATGACAAAAATCCAGCAAGATTTGTCTGTCACTGAGTGTGGAACGTAGCCTGCCAGATGTATTGTTTTAAACAATGTGTCCCACTTTTATTTTTTGTTGCTTCATAAAAGCCTGTATTGCAAAGTATGGTGTTAATCAATAGGTTTATAGTGCATTTCAATGTGTTTTCTCTTAAATTATATATATGACAAATGAGAAAAAAAATTTCAGTGGCAGAACTTCTCATCGCCACTGTGATGCTTCTGAACACAGCGTGAATGCTGGACCCTATTAATATGGCCACAGGCCTCAGATTGACTTTGTTTGTGTGCAGTATCATGTCTCTCTCTCTATTTGTGTGTTCTTTTTGATGCACTCTCCTTTTATTCATTACTGCTTGCTTTCAAATGCTTCATTGGCTTCCAAATGTTCCCTTTTTTCCATTCTCTCTTGTTTACCACTCGGCCAAGTCAGGTCATATATGAACTGTGTGGCGTGAGTATCTCTGTTTTTCATTTCCTTTGCTTTGTGTCATTCTTCCTCAGTTTTACATCTGTCGTCTGTCATCACTCATCTGTTTTCATCATATTGGTTCATCTTATTTTATCCCAACGGGGGTTAAGGAAGTCATTGACTTTGTGTTTGACTTCAAAAGGCTGTGCAAGAGAGGGACAACCAGATCAAGATGCTGTCTGAGCAAGTCAAGCAGTACACAGCAGAAATGGAAAAGAATGCTGTGCTCATCGAGGAGCTGAAGAAACCGGTAAAGAAAGATAAAGGTAACGCCAGCGTGCAGCATCGCAGGTTGGAAGACTTGAGCTCTAAACTGCAGGTGGCTGAGAGGAGAGCTCTGGAGGCTGAAAGTGCAGCCCAACTGGCTGAACGTGATGCTAGAGACAAAGACAAAGAGCTCAATGACACCCTCAGTCGAATCCGTCTCTATGAGTCTGTGAGTTTATCCCTTTGCACTTTCAGTGGTGAAAAATTCACTCCTGTTACAAGTCGAAATACTTTTTGGGGTTGCTATATAAATATTCTTGGGTTTAGGACAATTAATTACTCTATTTTCCAATGGCATCTTCAACTTGGTGAAGTCACAAAGCATCTTCACAAGGTCTTTTTCTTGAATCTAAAATCTAATAAGCTTTTGTTATAATGAACATAAACATTTCTTATACATAAACATTTTTTATAAGCTCACTAGACAAAGTTGTATGTAATTTTTACATTGTTTATTTATTCATTTATTTTGCTAAAGCATCTTCATTTTTTTTATTTTATGTTTATCATTTTTATTATTATTTATTTATTTATTACATCTATCTTTGTGACTATTCAATTTTGGGCTAATTTTTGACCATATTTAATGAAAATGTGAATATTTTCAATCTTTTAATAATAATTATATTAATATTAATTAAATGATTCATAATTATGCATTTAATGTTTATTTTTATTTAAATAAATACATATAAATAAATTATATATATAAAAGGAGTAATAAAATAAAATCAACATTTTCATTTTATTTTTGTTGTTTTATTGTGTCTATCGTGACCACTCGTTAAAGATATTCATGTTTATGTTCAAATAATCCATCTTTTCGTATAAAATAAATAATATCAGGTTGCACTTGATTTATTAATGTCATTTTAAAATTCTCGTCCTTACTAGATTCTAGCAATAACGCTTTGGGCAACTTGTCAAATAGAAAAGTTTTCATGCACATTCTACAATTTTTTGTTGGAAGCTAGCAACTCTTGTTCACAAGTAATTCAAATGGTAAACATTCAGAAAACAAGCGAGTCACTTTATTCTATAGAATTTTACAGTATACTTAAAAAGAAGTTTGGCCTGAAACACTCCACTGTCTTTCAGGGGACAGATGGTTTGGAAGCTGCCATCACTGAGATCAAAGAATGTAAAAATCAAATCAGAGTGAGAGACCGGGAAATAGAATCCATGATAAAAGAGATAAACCAACTGGAGATCAAAATGAACAATCTGCTAGATGAGAATGAAGACCTACGAGAACGCCTTGGTAAGTTTCCTCAGCCTGCTTTTATTCTTTCAGGAATCCCGTATAAATTATCTCTACACCCAGACATATTAGATTGTTTTCATATCCATATCTATTGTTTACATATTTTTCTAAGATAAAAATCTGCTTTGACTCTCAATGAGATAATTTTCCCACACCAGGATTAAATCCAAAGGAAGAACTGGATTTGAGTGAATTCCGGAGATCAAAGGTTTTGAAGCAGAGACAGTACAAAGCAGAGAACCAGGTCCTGCTGAAAGAGGTAAAACCAATTAACGTTATCTTTATGGTCTGATTTGTGTCCGTTTGCCCTATTTCATTTTGTCCGTGACCCCTAACGGGACTCTCCTTAGATTGAGCGTCTGGAGGAGGAAAGGCTCGAGCTGAAACAACGCATTCGTGCGCTGGTGAAGGACAAAGGTGAGATATTATCTCCAAGATGGTGCATATCAGTTACACACACATGTCCTATTCACATAAACCTGACAGCACATTTCCTTTTTAAGGCATATCAATAGTTAGTAGTTCACTGCTTGATGACAGTGTTGAAGAAAAGCCCGGCAGATCTTTTAAAGAGAGGCCTGTCTCTGGATCCACCGATGAAGAGATGAAACGCAAAGTAAGCCGTCTATCAGAAAAGAATGAGTTTTGAACATCATAAGAATTAAAGCTAAGCTAACAACCTGTTTGATTTTCAGAACGAACGTCTGCAGAAAGAGTTGAGCAACAAAGAGAAAGAACTTGAGCTCAAGAGCTCAGAATCCGCCCAGTTCAAAGCCAGATGTGAGCAGCATCACTGCGTGAACTTTGCATACTTACAGTGTCAGGTGGTTTCTGTGACTATAATGTTTCTCTCTCTCCTGCAGTGAATGAAATGCTAAATGAGAATAAACAGCTGGAGCAGGGCATGAAAGATATTTTGCAGGCCATCCAGGACACTCAGAAGAAAACACCCACATCGATTGGCGTCAGCATTCCCAGCCTGGAGAGACTCGTCAATGTATGTTCACCAACAGTTACTGGGCCCACACTAAATCTGTGTAGTATTGCATTATTGCAACCATTTTTTAAATATATATTTCATTAAATATGTATGAGAAATAATAATAATAATTTATTATTATTATTAAAAATAATAATTTGGTAAAGAATGAATAAAGGATACATTTTATAATTATGCAGTAATTACCTACAATAAATTTGAATATAAAATTATACATTTAATGAGTAATATAATATATAAAGGAAAACATAACTGTGTGAAAATAATAGTAAATTATATTTTAATAATGTAGAAATAAATAATAAAATCTATAATTATGCATTTAAAGTTATAAATGCTAGTTAAAAATATAATCAATAAAAATTAAATAATACTAATAATATTAATAATAATATAAATTATTATTTTTATTTTATAATTTTATATTAATAACAATATAAAAAATTTAATCTATGCTTATGCATTTAAAGTTATAAATGCTAGTTAAAATAAATAATAAATAAAAATGCTTTTAACAATAAATAATACATCTCATAATTATGCATTTACAAATAATAAATGTCAATATAAAATTATACATCTAAATAATACAGTATTTAATGGAAGAAAAGTATAGATGTGAAAAAAAATTATCATTTATCATTTATAAATGAATAATAAATGTAATTATGCAATTTAATACATTTACATATAAAATTGCACATTTAATGTGTAATACAATATTTAATGAAAAAATATTTATATGGAAATAAACATTTTATTTTTAACAAATTGTAAATAAATATTAAATGTCATAATTATGCATTTAGAAATTATACATTTAAATGTAAAATTATACATTTAATGGCCTTATTGTGGTCAAATGTATTTAACTGAGCTGAGAGTGCAACACTCTCATTGGTAGCTGTAAAGATTATCATATTAGCTTAATATTTTTTTTTTATAAAAACCTTTACAAAATGCAGTTGTAGTGGGGAAAATTGCTAAACATGCAAGTGGCGACAGGCAGTCAAATTCTGTGGAAATCTGCAGCGTTTCCATTAGCTTTCTGCAAGCATAGATTTTGTGTAAAGTAGACCTAGTGATTCTGATAAATTTGTGATAATTTGACACACAGTTTAACAACTTTTTAAAATCTTATTTAAATATGAAGTTTTTGCTCCCTCTTTTAGCAAAGTGAAATTACTCTTCCTAAATATCCTGTCACAACATATATGAGTGATAATTATGTTTATCTTAGGCTCTGGAGATGAAGTACTCAGAGGGAAAGTTTGATGCAAGCCTCCACCTCAGAACGCAGGTAGATCAGCTGACCGGCCGCAACGAGGAGCTACGGCAGGAGATGAAAGCAGCTAGAGAGGAGGCAGCAAACAATCTCAATCAGTTAACAAAAGCTAATGAGAAGGTATTTACTCAAATTACCAACTTAAAAGCTGCAGTCCATAAGTTTTGCCTCTTTGTCGCCATCTCTGTTTGAAAACCTGCAATTACAGTTATTTGTGGAGTTATTTTCTTTGCGTGGGTTGTGCTCCGGTACGGCTCCAGCGCGGATGAATCTAATGTTTTGAGGTGAATGTGTGGCAGTCAGTCACCGCACAGTTGTGGATATTTACTGTACTTCGCAATCACAGATTCTAGCCTATGTCTTGCAATATATGACTCAAATAAGATATTGTCATCTGAACAAGTAAGTAACAAGTCTGCCACGTTTGTTCTGACCAACTGAGGAAAAAAGCATTACAATAAATCGCGCTACCAATGATGATTAAATCTAACGATCAGTTAGCTCATATCACATCAAACCATGCTAATTATTATTATTGTTATACTTTGTTCTCAAATTGTTAATGTTAACAACATCAGCATTGCGTGTATGTAGTGTGTATTATCGTTACATGTAGATTTCAATTTCTGTAATGTCTAATCTCTAATGGTCATTCAAATTTCATATAAAGATATTTTTAATCCAAAAAAATATATATTCTTGCTTCGAACTGGTTCTCTGTGTAATCCCACGTATGCTATCTGTAATCACATGCGCATTTAAAACTGCAATAGACTATATGTTAATTTAAGTCCCATATATTTCATAAACACATAATCCTTTCTGGATTACAATCCGCCATCGAAATGATACATTTTATTATTCCAGCTGCTGTGAGAAAAGGCTATAAACGATCGTCCACCTGCAGGATCCTCACATGCGATAGCCTAGTAGCCAGGACAACTTCTTTATGTTTACAGACGTGACGTAATGATGCAGTGCCATGCTCGAATTTCCCGTGAATTCCTACCAGTTCAACTCAAATTAGAAAACATTATAAGCTTTCCATTGTGAATCGGGCTAAAGTAAGGCAATAGTTTTGAACACTGGCTGGTTATGTACTTGCTCAAATATTGATTTCGGATAATTTCTAACCAAAAAAGTTTCGGACCGCAGCTTTAAACTTTTACTGATCTAAAAAAAAAAGTTTTCATCTCTTTTTTTTATGTTATTTTTTTTGTAGATTGCTCATTTGGAAAGTGAGGTTGAATCAATGAGCAAATCAGCTGCCACTTCCATCCCTTACAAGTCATTAGCTCTGCCTGAAGAGATGACGCCAACTAGTGCCGAGGTCATCAACGCTCTCAATGAATACACGATACAACTCCTACAGGTGTGTGTGTGTGTGTGTGTGTGTCTCTATGAGGGGCCGTGCAAGCCATAATTCATTCTGGCACTCTCACACACATACATTCTCCTTTCACATACATATATTTTTGCTTTCACACACTTACATTCTCCTTTCACATGCATACATTTCTACTCTC